AGTTTCATCAAAAACCGATGTATGGTTCTTGAGATAGCAGTGGAACAGTCGGACACACATACACACATACACACATACACACATACACACATACACACATACAGACACACTAACTGCAAAGACTCCCATTTTGTGCTTCGCACATGGGAGTCAAAAACTACACACACATTACAGCTCAAACCTAATTAGGCCTGTGGATTATTTCAGAGCATCTATGTTCTAAGTTTCACTGAAATATGATTAGTTGTTGTTGAGATATTCATAGAACAGACACATACATACCAGTACATACAGACGGGGTATAAACTGCAAAGACTCTCATTGTGTATACAAGTTTACTTTCCCCAAAGAGGACAAAATTTGACTTGGGCTCTCAGAGGATACAACCTGCAGTCCTTGATTTGAGGCTTCTTGGTTCCATCACTTCTATCATTTCACAGGCTGATGAATCTCTCTGACTGCAATGTTTGTTTTGAACTAAACAGAGATTAAATTATAAATTTCAAATCTTTTATAGAAATAATTTTAAATATTGCACAATGACACACTTGTACACTGTAGAAGGTGTTGTCAAATACATGCAGTAAATTTCCAAGTTTCATTTCTAAAAAGTAATCAAATTTAGTCAATAATTTTACTTTTGATAAAGTCATGCACCTCCCCCTCATATTAAAAATATTAAGTTCTATAAATAGTAACCATAATCTCCCATTCCCAGACTTCCTGCGCTACTTATTCGATTTGAAACCTCCCAGACAAGCTTACACCCCTATTATGGAATGCTGCTTTCCAGACAGTATTTCCCATGGTAACCTACACCACACTGACAATACCAGTAACTTCCGTTTCTAGCTGTAGAATTACTGACACAGTTGCCATGACCTGAACATTGCGATGGTTGATAACGCTGCCAGTATGCCTTGTACAACCCATTGTGTAACCATGGTTTCTCTGCAAAAAAGGAAGCTATAAATCTATTACCACAATTCACAAATTCGTAAATCTCACAAGTGGGTAAAAATTGCAAAATTTTGTTGAAAAGGCAAAAAAGGCAATTTTTATTTTATTACAGCATACATATATTCTGAATTCTCATGAATAAAGCCAAAAAAAAAACACGACTCGATATTTCATATTTTTCAGTTGTTCGCTTAGGGCAACAAAAAATTTTTTTTTTGCCTAAACGCAGTCTATTTATCACATCGACTTACTCGCTCCATTCCAGTGTAGTATTCCAGCAGTTTTCAGTTTCTCTGTACCTATTGTATCCTTCCACCCAAGACTGTCCACGTTCCAAGTAGAATCCAGTTTTGTCCATTGACCATGGTACATCATCAACATCACCGGCTGGCTACCAAACTTCCACAACTTTTTCTTAGCATTCTAAAAGCATGAACAAAAATAGACAAAAATGAGCTGAAAACATTATTAAAATGTTGACCAAATAAATGAGTAGATGTCTTACAAGGAAATACAGTTAAAGAGCGGCAGTCATCACGCCGTGTCCTGTTCGATATGGGACTCATAGCAACGTATACAACGCGTGTAAAATACATTGTTTATTTACATGAAATTCAAACATGAGCTGCACGCGACTACTGTGCTTTAACTAACTAAACTTTTTAATTTTTTGAAGAAATATTATAACGATAATATTTTATCTACTGGTATATATCGGGCGAAAAATGATAGGAGGGTTTGCATGTTTATAAATGGCAAATAAAATGAAAATTTTACCTGGTTCATCCAAAATTCAGCTTCATCCACCAGTTGTTTCTCTCTGTAGTGGAGTAAATCAATAACAAACACACCTGCGTTAAAGGTGGGCTCAGATTCTGAGAACCGCTTACCATATCTGGAAAAGAGGATCATGGGAAGTTTTGGAATTGTAAAATTTTTATTCAAGTATTCATGTATAACATCAAAAATTCAACACTCTTTAATTTGGCTTGAATTACATATTATTCTAATATATTTCTATAAATCAGCAAACCTCATTTAAAACTATTCGAAAATAGAAAAGAAGAAGTCGAAAATATCATTTTTTAACCAAAATGTCAAAATATTACATTGAATATTGAATGTACTGGTAGTTGATTGTAACAATGTGTACGTCGGTATTTACCATCACTTTTTACCACAAATGACAAAAATATTCATCAAAATTAGGGAATTGAAGATATCATCACGAAACGAACAAATCTGAAAAAGGTCTACCTGTAGGACCCATATGTATAATATCAAAGCAATCAGACTTGTGGTTTTTAACAAGAAGTCGAAAATATCATTTTTTACTAAAAATGTCAAAAAATTACATTGAATATTGAATGTACCGGTAGTTGATTGTAACAATGTGTGCGTCGGTATTTACCATCCATCTGAACCACAAACACCGGGCTGCAGTAACTGACAGGCCAAATCTTTGTGATTTTTTTTGGCATTAACCTAAACAGTCAAAATAATTGCTATAGACTTCATAAATTTTCAAAAATGAGTCTGAACTCTAATTCTACTGCCAATGGAATGGAAGTGACCAGTTCACAGATCTTTGAAATGCAGACTTGATATAAAAATTATTAAAACTTGACGAAGACGGTAAAAATTAATTTTCAAGATAATGTACATGTAATACCTTTCAAAGAAGACTTTTAACACTTTTTCATCAAAGAAATGTCCATATGGAACTATATCTCTCGAAACTGCCACCAATGGCGTTTTGGCATCTTTCGCTATATTCCACAAATCTTCGATTGGTTGCTGAACAACACAGTCAGCATCAATGTACAATGCTTTTTGTAAAGACGGAAAAATTCTATGAAATAAGAAACAAGAATTATTTGCAAGTATGCAGAGAACACAAACTAAGTTCAAAATTGACATGCAAATCAGAAAAAATTAGAATTCTTAATTTGAAATCAGAGGTAGAATTTGTTGTGGGTTATTAAAAAAGAAAATGTGAACAATGAGAGAAAATATACAAAGCATTGGAGAGATAATGGAATAAAAAAATTGTCAGGCATACATGAATAACATTTTCAAGCAGTCTCTCAACTGAGATAGCTCCGCTGTTAGCAATGCATATTTCAATTAAAGAACTGAAGATATCAACAGAAAATGAACAAATCTGAAATAGGTCTATCTGAGGTACCTACATGTATAACATCAAAGCAGAGTGGATTTGCTGTATTTAACAAGTCGAAAATGTCACTTTTTACCAAAAATAACAAAAATATTCATCAAAATTAGGGAATTGAAGATGTCGTAATGAAATGAACAAATCTAAGAGAGGTCTTCCCAAGGTACATATACACTAAGTATTAAAACAATAACAATTATCACTCATATGATAAGCTCCGCTCATCGAAGTTGACAGAGGAGCTAAAATCATATTCCTACAGCCCTCCAGATTTCCAACCACTGTTCGAATCACGCATGGTTATGCAAACTCAATGAGAATATACTTCCTCACAAACCTGATTTCTATCGAATTGGTGACTTGGTTAAAAAACATAGATCTGATTGGACAAGCTGCTTCATCTATGGTGATATAGCAATTTTTTAATTCAATATTTGGTATAAAATTTGGCAGAAAGTTTTCTAATACTTTACAAAAATATAGGTACTGGGGTAATATATTTTGAATGATGTACATTTACCTGTCAAAATAGAATCTTGCAAAGTTAGCCAGACTGGCTAGGTTACCGACATCTTTTATCGATGAAAACACATGTATTCTACCAGACAACCACGAATCATTCAGTTCAATGACATTAATCTGCAGTAAAAAAAAAAAAAACATACTGAAACTATTGAAGCCTTTCCTCAGCTGAAGTGGTTGATGGAACTCGCTGATTGACTACCATGGTGTCAAGTCCGTGTTTTCTACATTCATTTTTTTGTTTGTAATTTTATATATCAGGAAGAATGATGATGTGCTTTCAATTATTAGGTGTATACCGATAATTATGGTGGTCACACTGAGCACCAGACACTGTAAAATAAATTCCCCTCAATCTGTATCTTCTAGTGAATGAATTACGGTCAGCCATTTTGTCCTCTCCATACTTCCAGTGCTTTTTTTGCTTGTTTTTTTAGGGGGTAGTTTTTAGGTGTAATAATAGTAAAATCACAATGTCACTGGTGTATTATATAGTAAAAAGACAACTTTACATGATTACAAACATATCAACATTTCGCAAAACAAGTTTGTGGTCAAATTTGATAGGGGTTGATTCTCAGAACCACACAAATTCTTTTGATATTAACAACCAAAATTCTGACCAAATCTACCCAACATTTTTAGATAGCAATAATCATGGAAAGCACGCTAACATACCTTGTCTGTCACCTGCAAACCACAGCACTGTAGATACTCTTTAAAACTCTCTGCTGGTTGCCCGGCAACAACAATGTGAAACTTAATGTTACTAGGCAACCTTGCTGTGTGTAGGATTGAGTTTATCAAAGTAGCAACACCTATGCAGATAGAAAAATAAAACCTCTAGCATACCGGTAATAGCTCTATTAGAAGTGTATTTCCAATAGATTGAGGCAGACATATAAGTATAATTTTTATGGAACATTAAAATATTAATTATTTTAAGTAATACACCTCTGGCCTTTAAGTAAAGTATACTATTCAAATTCCAAGTATGGTAGAAGTATACTTAATTTATATAAACAATCATATTTAAAGAGCGGTTGGGATGATCGTCGCGCTGCGTCCTGTTCGATATAATGACTCACAGCGGCGACCATCGCCCTTTAACACACGAAAAAGTAATTAATTTAGATATAAATATGAGAAATCTTATCTGTGATAAAAAAGTTGATTGTACAAAAGAATTTTGCAAAGAACATGCCAAACCATTGCCTTGGGTAATCATTGAGATAAAGACTGTAGTATATACTGGGGTACATTTATCCATGAATAAGGATGGACCACTACATGTAACTTGACTACAGAACCAAGTCACTCACCTATAAAGTGGTCATTATCAGCGGAAATAATTATATGAATATCATCACTTATTCCAGCGTTCTCTTTGCCAGGAATTACTTTTGTCATCACTGTCTTTTCTTGATCACTTTTACCTACATCTTCAGCACTCAATTCATCTGAAGTTGCTGTCATGGCAACAATAGGCATACATCTGTAGTTGGCGGGACCCAGGCGATTACATCTCGTATCTTCAGGGCATTCGTAATTCCCAAGCATGCAGTAATCTAGATCTGAAAGTGACAAAATACAAAACTCAAAATTTCTTTACTTCACAGGATTTAGATTTGCTTAAATTCACACTGGTTAAAAAAAAAAATTACCTTTCCATCTTCACTGACAACTTTTACCTGTCACAGAACATTCTAAACTTTTTGTAGATATTTTTGCACTAACAAATGTAACAGGAAACAGTAAATAACTTTAACAGTTTTTTTTCATTTAATGTCAAAATACTGTAAAATCATTTATTTTTATTGGCATTTAATTTCACTATTTTGATGTTTTGAGCAATTTCACTGGGTTCTCGAGAAACAACGAGTTCCTATGTTTATCTACAAGTTCAGGTGGATTTAATTTAAATTAGCAAATTTAAATTATCAATGAAAATAGCATAATTAAAATGAATGCATTTACAGTACTCGTAAAAAAAAAAAAAATGTTATTGTACATCTGTGGTTTGACCAATAATATTAATAATAAAGAACAGCGTCATAAATATCAAATGTTGCGAAAACATTTTCATATAAACGACAGAAACATTTGGCTTTTTAATTTATCAACTCCAGGAAGCCGTTTACCTAAAGAATGCTCATTACCTGCAATGTACACACCACCACTGGATTTCCCAATCCATTTCACCAAATCACCAGGATGACTGACAGACATTTTTAATAATCCATTACTGTTGAAAGCTATAAAAAATAAAAAAAAATTAATCATGAAATTTGGATTGGGCAACAATGTGAAGTTTTGTGAACATTTAGAGAAAAAAAATGTGTTGAACTTCTCATCATTGTATGTTGAGACAAACATTGGGATGTGCAATGCAGAGCAAAATATTTCAATTACAATATCATGGAAAAAAATTCAATGTTGCAATTATGATTAACATATTCAACACTAATTTGATTAGATGCAGGCAGCAATTTTGAAAAGTATGTTAATTTTTTCAACTGTAAGAAAAATGGTTGCTTGAATGAGGTAATAAAATATAGTATATTCACAACGAAAAAAAGAAAATTTGTGTCTATAAGTGGCGCATTTCTTCCACGGGTTGTCATGGGTAGCAAGGGTCCCATATCAAAGCACATGTCTGCGATGACCATAACTCTTTAATTTACCTGTAAATCACTACTATATTACCATATAAGGAATTAGATTGCTGTTTATGCTAATGAGATTTTTACATTCACCAATCACAGTGAGCCTTACATTTCAGTTACCTTTAACATCCCTATCATACACAGACACTGATTGGTTGATGGCACCAAAACTCACCTATACACTGAGTTAGATTTCTACATAAACTTTCCAACATTGGAATATTCCCTTTAAACTGTTCAGCTGCTATAAAGTCCCCTCCATTGGAATCAAACCCCTGTATCAATAAAAACAACATATGTAGAGTGATTAGTTAAGTACAATAACCATTTTATTAGTCAGACCTGATTTTTTGACATTAAAAACAATATTTATTTTTTTAAATTTTCTTGTGTTCAGTTAGTAGACATTTTAGCCAATTCCACAAATACTGAATATGAATGTATCTCTATTACATTGCAGTGTAACAGTTACTATAGCAACACTCTCAGCTCAAACGCCAATATTTATACAAATATTAAATTCAACTCAAAACTGTGATTACATACTGCATGTGACAACTGACCCTATATACTACCGGTAAATAATATCACATCTTTCCCCTATTAAAATAAGATTTGAGAGAAACTTTACCTCAAAGAATACAAAGTTTGTTGATTTCTTCATGCTAGTTATGTCAATTCCATTGAATTTATGAATCAACAAATCTCTTCTAACTCTAAGGGGAAACTCTTGGTCGGGCAAATATCTGGATAAAAAAAAACAAAAATATTTTTCATTTTAATTATTCATGACATTTTGATTTTCTATCATTAGGATTCCATCACTACTGTGGAATACTTTATTTTAACTGGAATTATTTTTTGCTGAAAAATCTTTTTGGGTGTTTTGTATGGAATTTATTTTCACTGATTTTTGACGAGTTGAATGCGAAACATAGGAAAAAAAGTATATTCGCTGGAATTTATTTTCACTGAAGCATCCCTTCAGCGAAAATAGCAAAAATAAATTCCAAGCGAAAATAAAGTATTCTGCAGTATACGATGTGTGCTGTGTGGTTACAAATCATTAGAGCAACATTACCTAGGGATGCAGAATCTTCCATTGCCATAGTAACCAGGAGGCATCGACACTGATACTGAGCCGGACCAGTATGGTGGCATCCTGCATTCACATCACAGTCGTGAAGATCAGCTTCACATATATCAATGTCTAAGACAAGGAAAAATTGAATAAAAATTGTGTTGAGCCAAATTATTGTTGATTGCCTGCAGTTACTCACAAATAATTCAACAATTTTGTGTACAGTCATTAGCAATGAATTTTCACACGAAAGCTCAAAAAAAAAAAAATAGATAACTGTATTGTTCATGGCAAAATCAAAGATGCCTGCCATCAAATTATTACCAGTGAACTGTTTGATATTAAATTGAGCTAAACACAAAATATCAAAATAATATAATCAGATTTGGATTTTACTCATCCCATGAAAAACACAAGACTTTAAGAAAATAACCGTGTTCAATTTACCAAAATTATTTTTGAGGGTAACAAAAACTTGAACTTCATTAATGGTCTGGTTGCAAATAAAAAGATGGATGTTAATGTACCTGCGACATAAAGTCCGGTTCCTGGTTCACCCATTCTCGTTAGCCAGTTTTTCTGTGGCTGAATCTTACTCATCAAGTACCCATCACTACGCACTGCTATACACTGGTCTATATCAAGACATTTTTGTAACAAATTCTGATAAAATAAAAAATTTAAATGTAAATCTATTTATAGTTTCTGTATTGAACACCAACGAATGTGCGATATACCATACCATACGTTACTACCTAGAATTGAAAAACCTTGTATCACGACTGCTGCCAAAACTTACAGCGCTTGTTAAACGTTCAAATATTACCTTTGTATGAGGTGTACGTTCAAGGTTATTGACGTCACATTCAAACACTTGCATTTGTTTACATTTGATGCAGAAGCATACGATGTAAATAGAAACCCATCACTGAACGCAATGTTCACACAGCGCAAAACAGTTTTTGTTGTCATTTTGCCAATAAATTATTACCATAAGCAGGTAAAATATGTATAATAATATGAGGTTATTACGAGTATATCGTAAAGTTTGCATGTAGATAGTACAGCGAGGAGTATCAACAGACGCACAACAGAGGTCGATGCGACAGTGTACTGCCTGAGTGCATACTTTGGGGTATTCTCATAATAACCTTATTATTATACATCTTTTCCTTCCAAAGATACATCATGGGAATGCCGAAACCCAAATTGTTTAAAACAGAATCAGCTAACTTCTTTGTGTGGAGTCCAGTCCAACCCTGGTGGCAACCTTGTTTGTTTTTATTATTAGAGGACGCTCCTGCGCATAATAATTCCATATTTCTAATTCGCATTTCCTAATATGGTAGGATGAAAATACCTTGTAAAATACCGCAAAATTACGGCACGCTGTAACTTATGGTGTTACGGTTACAGATGTATAATAATAAAAGTCATCACAATATTTCCACACAGTATGCACTTAGGCAGTACAGAGTCACATCAACCTACAGTACAAGTTGGCAAATACATTCACCGTACATCTTTTATGCATACTTCGCAATGTTCTCAATATAACCACATGATATAATTACATTGTATAAAAAACAAATTTAACAAACCTGTTTATCATTATATGAAGAACCTAGCTTCATAATCATATTGCCATCACTGCTTTTATCTAAAATAGAAACAAATTTGTATTTTCATGTCAGTTTGTACTTTTCGATTTGAAATCAAAGAGGGTGGCAATTATTTTATTCACATATGTCTGATAACAGTCATTGACAGTAGCCAGTCATGACACAATTATTTTTTTTAATTTCTCTTCACTTACAATTTTACCATTTTTTCCAGGCCACCCTCTATAAACTACTGTGATCCATGCTGTAATAAAACCATCACCAGTGGTTTAAACATGCTCTGATGATATGAATATCAGACAGAATATCACCAAATATAATATTAATGAAAACATAACTCCAATACAATACATGTATTCATATCCATGAAATATATTTAAGAACACTTTAAAGTAAAATCACCATTATAATCATGCTTTTTTTTAATATAGATAAAGATTCAAATACAGGCATATCGATATACAGCTTGAGTTCCTGTATTACCACTTTGAACAACATACATATATTTTTTCTCGTCCAAATTTTAGCAATAATTTTCACATTTTAAAATATTTTTTAATAATTTCTTTTTAATTTTGGATCAAAAGAACATAATTTACCATTGCCTACTAGTCTCGATCAAAATAATTTTAAAAATATGGAAAAAATCATGCAGGTTTATTTTGTGAAAAGTCACAAAATTTTTAATTGGAATGGAAAGAATTAAATTAATAAGTGTGAATTATAAGAAAGAACTACTCAGAGGAATAAAGATTAATGTTGATAATTATGAGAAGTTACTGCAGGAATAGAGGGGTTGCAAATCAACATGCTAAATTGGTGCAAAACTTGTTACCTTTGTAAAAATCAAATTTGTCTTTTTTAATGATTGGTACAGAAATATTGTTTTCTTTGGCATATGTTAGATAGCTGTGCAGTGGAGAATAGAAATGACAAACAGACAAATGCATATACAAGTACAGCAAACAGTTAACATAACACATTGTAGTATTGATACAACATAAAGTGTAATAACAATTGTTAGGAATTAATGTTTTCAATGATATAATCTTTTCCACTATTTTGGAGCTACACATTGCGAATTTATATGTATTTTTTTATCATTTTTTTGATATTTTTGGACTCAATGGACATAACTCAACTTTATCTACATGTTGTTATCAATTTTTCCAACAAATAAAAAATGTCACTAATTTCATAAATTAAATTCAAAATGGCTGCCGTTTTGAGCCTTAACATCTCAGTGAAGATAATATCCAATTAAATTTGATTATTTAAAACTTATTACTCACATCTGTTTGTTGATTTCCAGTCTTTCGTTCAACTCTGCATTCTTTCTTTTCAATTCTTTCTCCTGTAATCGTTTAATTCTTTTTTCCTTTTCTTTCCTCAGTTTATTTCTAAAATCTCTTGAAGGTGATTTTTTGGTTTTATATTCTTTTTTCCTTCTCTGTCGGTATTCATTCAACCATTCAATAAATTTTTCAACTCCTGGAAGATATTGAATTAATGTTAATTAAAAAAAATCATGTAATAATTATTACAATTTAATTAAATTATAATAAATAATTCTCACCAATCTTGAGTGATGTTGTAGGATTGTAACCAAGCAACTGTCGTGACAAACTGATATCTGCGTAGGTTTTCAACAGTTCGGATGGCGGTACAGGTTTAGGAGCCTGGAAGTATAAAGAAAAAAAAAATGAATAAAATATTAACAAATAATAAACTTCAAGACACTCCAAGAGTGCATATCTCATCCACAGTTACAAATTACTTACCCTTACCCTCCATCCTAATGTGAACATGAAATTTGCTCATAAATCCATGGTGAAAAGTTCAGTTTATAGGTGTTCAAGAATGATCAGAATTAGGATTACAATTTAAATAGATATTTTACATCTATAACACACCAATGCATTGAATATATTTTACATCAGACATACCAGAACAGCCTTCTTTCCCACAGCCTCTTCCAAGTATCCAATCATTTTAAGAAGGTTTTCCGGATGACCGTATCCCAAATTGAAAACCTCCCCACAACGTCTTGGAGTGTACGACAGTGTTGCCATGACACCATTTATGATGTCATCAATATAGGTGAAATCACGCTCTAAAATACCATCACTGAGAGGGAGAAGAAAAAAAAAGTGACGCTGTAAAAATGCAAATTAAAAAACTAGTGACATTTAATGGTTTTATTACATTATTAAAAACGCAAAAATGTAACAATACATAAACATACCATAAAAATCAAACTAAAACATACTTTGTTTCAAATTTTGGCACTGGTTCATTTTCTAGAATCTTCTCGGCAAATTTGTAGACTGCCATATCAGATCGACCCCATGGTCCATAAACCGTGAAGAATCTAAGTCCAACCATCGTAAGATTATACGTTGCACAGTAGCTATATGATAATGTCTCATCAGCAAGCTTGGTAGCGGCATATACATTGCCCGGTCGACTTAACGACTCTGTGATGACAAACGGCGTAGCAGAATCATGGCCGTAGACGCTAGAGGAAGATGCGAAGATCAATTTGCAGTACTGTGGAAAACAAAAGAACATCTACATATTGCAATATCCATTATTAATACACATCTAGCACCAAAAACAATATTTTGCGACTCAAATATATTAGCGTTAATTTCAATATTTGTTTCAAACAAATACTTTCCTTTGTTTACAGAATGTTAATAATCACGCAAACACTGCGTAGTAAGACTCCCATACAATGAGTTTTTGTAGGCATTACAGAATAATATTCTCTCACTAATTCATCACTATCCAACTGGAAAAAAGGCAAATACGATGTAATAACATTACAAAGTTATCACAAGATTACCAAACTCTGCCACGTGTCAGTCAATCCATCACTGTTCTGCTTTCAGAAGTATTTTGCGGTATTCCAGAGATAACAGCAGAGTACAAAAACAAGCTAGAATGTTTTAGAGTCATCTCGTTACTTCAAATTATCAGACTCTCTAATATATTGAAACTATATGATGTAATTAAAAAATACTGTAAACCATTTTTTTTTTCGCAGCAAAAAATTTTCAGGATTTATGATTTTATGTCATAGGAAATTTGCGAAATTAAATTAAATGAAATCCACAGAAATACATATATAACATCAATTGAATTCAAGGCTTCCATCGGCTAAAGAAGAACTAATGAACTATCATCGCCTTCCAGGGTACAGGTATCAAGTTAATTTTCACAATGAAGATTTCCCATGAGCCATGGATGTTTATTACTAAAAAGTACACATTTTATTGTTTTTAACAATCACTAACTATAAATATTACAGCCGAATTCATCTAAATTATTACTGATGAAATTAAAAATATCTGAAACAGGAAAACTTACAGGAAATTTCTTCATTACTTCCAACAGGTTCAGGTAACACTTGATATTTTCCCTGATATACACAAGAGGGTTGTCAAGAGAATACCTGACACCAGGTTGTGATGCCAGATGTACCACGTGGTAAAGCTGAACATCAGAAAAGTTTCTTCTAAAAACGCTGCATCGCATAAGTCACCCTCGAACAAACGAACTCCAAGTTTATGAAGTTCGTATGCACGGTCCTGCAAAATATACGATAAAAATGCCATCACTACATGTTCCTATACATGCCATTACAACTACGGTACATTAAAATGATTGTCAATATCGCTAGTTATAAACATCAGTTGTTAACGACAATAGTGTCACATGATCATGTGATGTACATGTGACACTATTACTTAGGTCAATCAAAATATGATTTGTAACTGGTAATTCATTTTAGCAGATCACCCCTTCTCCAAAATATAAGTATGGTGCATACCCTTGACATGATGTAACATTGACGAGAAACAAATCTATTTTTTGTTTGAACCTTTCTGGACGCACAATCCCTCACCTCTTTCAATCTGACATCGTAATATTCGCTAAAATTATCAATACCAACAACAACATTCTGAGATTCAAAGGTCAACGTCCTTGCCAGGTGGAATCCAATAAAGCCAGCGACGCCTGTGATGAGTATAGTCCGTGGAGCATCTTGAATTTCAAATCTGGTAGTTCTTTTTTCAACATTGGCCAATGATTGGTGTAATTGTAACCATGAAACTAAGCCAATGACTCCGACTATAAAACACATCACGACTAACACGATAACAATGTTCTTGAACGTCAAGGTATTTTTCTTCATTTTGCGCAAGTTATAAACCATCATTATCCCTTCCTGTTTTGCATATCTTGAATAATGTGTTGTTTCCGATATCACATTGACTTGCCATAGTAATGTAACCAGGATCCTCAAGGTGAATCATACCATCCAGTTAACCAAAACATGGTGTATTGTGGTGTCTGCCTAATAATACTAGAATGTCTTGACAATATAGCTTTATATGATACATCTTTCTGCAATTAAAGACACAGTACTAGCAATCTGCTGTTTCATCATAAATCTTCTGTCTTAAATTGGCTGGATAGAAAAAAAAAAATGTTAAAACATTGTTTTGACATTATTTTGGCATTCTCATCCCACTCATTTCATATCCTATGCTACAGATATTCCTGGAACATATATACATGTATGAATAAAGCAGCCAATTTTCTAAAACGTTAAACTATGAAGTCATAATGTCATGCTCGGAATCGTCGAAGCGTTCCCTGTTACACGACACTGATGGTTCGATAGCACGCCACCAACGGACAAATTTATCGGACACATGTTGATCTTCATCGCCTTTGTTTTAGTGTAACTTTGCATATCAATCCAAATGTAATTTGTGTCGTGGGTTCACCGTTTAAATATCTATTGTACTTGTTCGCACTTGTATTTTCAGTATTTGTGAAGACGTGACGTGAACTGAAGATGTGGTTCTCTCGCGTACATCAATGCCAACGTACAATATGAACAAACGATTGCCAACATGTTCTGAATCAAAATTTACACATCAGCTTCAACACATGTACCATACATAGGTGTATTGACTCAAATTTACACCCGGAATGAAAGTGGAAAATGTACATCCAACGAAATGTCCACATAACCATCAAATTTAACGTCTATCTCGGGCCGATCCCAACTTGAAAACATGAGTCTTGTTTGAGCTCCATTGCTACACTTTACCCAATAGACTCACCAGAGTGACATCCACGAATTCAGTATAAAATCGCTGTTATCGATGGTAGAAATATCGCATGATGATGCCGTGGTCGATATCATCCATCAAAACACACCCCAAAAGAATCCCCGCAATCACCCATAATTAGTGACGTAAAGGTAAACGCAGCTGTTACAATGCATGGCTGCCCTCACTCGACAAATTTACACGCGCTTTCGTTTCGGGCATGACATTTCAGAAATGGATTATTATGCCAGTACTAGTTGTTTTTGTAAGGATACACAAAGCAATAAATAGAAAAGTTACAACATTTTCATATCAATTACGTGTTACGAGTAAGAGCGTAGAGTAGGGATTCTCCACCATGTGTTACGAAAAAAAGAACTTGTGTTCAGGGAACTTCGACTCGCTTGGCAGATAACGCTTACAGTGTAAAGATACTAGGTTCGACCCAAAAGAATACATATTTAAATTAATCACAGATGGACCATTTTATTACGAGTCAGCCGAACACCTCTGTTAAATATATTGGCGTCCGTTACGAGTTATCTACCAATAGCTGCAAGCCATTGACAAATTACGTAGTTTCTACGCCTCGACTTCCAAATGCTTACTACAGTGAATTTATAAACATAATATGTGTTTACCATTCGGTATGATATACGCCCATAAAATGTTTGCTGTTGACGATTCATGTATAACAAACATCGTGGGATAGCAATATGTACGTTATTCTCTATCAATACAGTGACACATATGCACCCAGCAAATTTTGAGCAACCACTACCTCCATCGTCCGCCTGCACGGTGTTGTTCCGTTCGGACATTCCTTCGTCGGAACATTCACCTTGAAAATTCAAGATGCCTACCTCAGGTGTAAAAAATTATAATTACAAAACATTACCGAGTGACATATAATTCTGTCAATCATGATTTAATATTTACGATGATGAGTCATAGGTACGTAGGCGAGCGATTTCTATTTCAGAAAAAATTAAATCTTATAAAAGTGCCTCTGAAATAAATATTTTTAAACTCGCAAAAATTAGGAAACAAGAAAACATTGACAACACTGAAAATTTTTAGGACCATGTTTGGGGAATATCCACGGATGTTTTGTTACTACATAAATATACATTAAACTGTTTTAGCAATATCCTTCTCATTATCATATCTCGTACTCATAACTTCTTAAAAACTTAATAAAACCTAAAAATACTATTTGTTGGGAATACTTCGCCAACTGGGAAATGTTTACATTTACCATCATAAAGGACCTCACAAAGTTATTAAATGTCATTCAAAATAGTGGAATAAAGCGTTTACATAAAATATAATTCAACGTCACAAAAAAATCGTTCATAAATTCGACAATATGAAGCATGTATTATGTTACACAAACTAAACAATAGTCCTAAGGTTATGAAAAAGTTCATCGTCGTTGATTCTTTTGTTTTCCCAATGCAAAGCATTCATAATTCTACTTTCACTGTGTTCGTTACTTTAATAATATACAAGCAGTTTATTAGCCTTCTCACAGTTTCTGCTTGACGTAGATTCTTTCATCCGCGTTTGTTCCTCTTCACAATGCGTCCCTCGAAAGAAGTCTAACTTGTTTTTTGTCCATCTTTAACGTCATTGAACGTGTATACTGTCCTAATGATAGTGTCAGCATAGAAGTATTTAGGGTCTTCACCATATGTTACGACTGGGCACGTAGAGTCTATGAACTTCTCTTTCCACTGTGTACTACGAAAGCAGCTTTGTGTTCGGGGAACTTCGA